GTCAATATTTTTTGTATGCTAATAATTGTATAATTTTTTTCAAATTATTGTAATTTTTATAATTTTATTTAATTTATTTGATATTTTTAGTAACGTCATTTTTTATTTTCTATTTTTCTATTTTATTAATTTATTCCATTTTCCAATTTTCATATTTCATTCATCCAACCATTGTATGCTTTGTATCATTCAAATTTAAATGAAATCAAATTCTTATTTTTCTTCCAATTTGTTATTCACTTTGAGCTTTTGTCTCTTTGACTTCTTATTTTGTTAAGTATTTTTTTTTAATTTCTTTGTTAGATTTCTTATTTTTTCAAATAGTTGGCAAAGGAAAGTTAAATGTTTTAACTTTACTTAGCAAAGAAATAAAAAATCAAAAAAAGAAAACAAAAAAAAAGCAAACTAGCTCGATTCGGCCCACGCCTAAGGCCCAACTAGTGGCACAGCCTAAAACTCGTTCAACCCAGGCCCATATCGTGTGGGCCATGCTGGGCCGACCCCCCAAATTATTGTGTGGGCCAGCCTATTTTACACCTCTACTTTCTCTCCTTAGATTTGTCTAACTCAATGCTTAGAGTCCTCACCCTAGGAGATCACCACGATGCCTCTGTCGCTCTCATCGTGCTTCCAAGAATCATCTATGTCTAGGGGCATAGCCAAGTTATTGGGTGGGGGTCTTTGCCCCCCCAAACTTTTCCCTACCCTATACCTTTAACTAGGGGATAATCCATCCCATATACCAATAACTAGGTTGGGCTAACATTTGGTCCCCCAAGTCATTAAAAAAAAAATGTTATTGGGTGGGTAGAATCATATTAATAATGATTTATCTCAATAATGACCCAATCTAATTTCTTAAAATCCTAATTCTAACTTTAACAAAATCCATTATTCTTTTTCTATGTAAATTCAATTTGTTTGAATTAAATTTTTCAGGTTGGACTTGAATTAGAATGACTTATTTACTTATATATTATAGGGTCGGATTGAACAATGTCTCAATCTTAACCCAGCCCAAAATTTAATAGGGTTCGTATTTTTTTTAACTTTAACCTTAACAGAAACTTTAAACCGAACTTTCTGGTTGGATTGTAGTTGTAGAATACATTTCATAGGTGCACTTTAGAAATTTTCACCTGGTCTCCATTCTCCATTCTTCCTCATCTTCATTCTCTTGGCTGGCCCCTTAAAAGTGGCTCTGCCACTATCCATGTCCAAGGTGTGCATCAGGTAATCAGACTTATTGGTGACTTTTGGATGTTAATAATTATTAATTTCAAAATCATATTCTCTCTCTCTCCATCCTACCATTCATTCATTTTCTTATTATCCTTTTTTTCTAAGGTTTTAAAAATCAAACCAGACACAGAACCATTTTGGGGACCGGTTCCTAGGTCAAATAGTTTGACAGTCTGATTTGAATGGAAAAACCCATTCTGATTTAAAAAATAATAATTAAAATAAAAAATGACCAAAAACCATGGTTCAGATTGATGGTTTAATCGCCTGAGTCAGCATGCCATTCACCAAACCAACAGTTTTTGGCTCAGGAGCGGTTTTAGGATGAAACAAAACCGGTTGCCTGACTGGTTCCCGAGTCAACCAGTTTGACCATTCGATCTGGCTTGGTTTTCAAAACCATGCTTTTTTCCATTGATATTACAAAACAGGGATGGCTACAACTTGGGCGGGCCCAACTTGCTCCCAAACCAATGCTTTCAAAACTTGACCAGACGGTCGGACCGAAAAAACTGGAATTGGTCACCGTCTCACCTCAAAACTATCTTTTAGCCAAAAACCGTTGATTTGGTCAGCGAACTATTGACCCAGGCAGTTGAATCGTTTAAACCATTGACCCGAACAACAATTTTTCATTTTTTTTATATTTTATTTTTTTAAATTTTTTTATTAAAATGGGTTGTCCATTCAATTTGAACAGTCAGACCGTTTGACCTAAAAACCGGATCCCTGAACGATTCGTTATCCGGTTCAGTTTTAAAAACCTTGGCCCAAACCAACACAACTAAATTTTTGCATGAGGTTGGACATGAGCTTTTGAGCTACATGCGGGCTTGGACCATAAAACTCGGGTCTTGGGTCTGGTGTAAAGTTGGGTTAGGGTGTAGCCCAAACCCAACCATAGCCCGCATGATGTAAATTTTACATATTTTCAATGGGCCTAGGCTTGACGCAATATAAATTCTTCTAATCGAGTGCCCACACTCCTACATATTTTTAATCAATTTCAATCCTAAATTAGACCATAAAGTCTAATAAAAGATGACTATACAAAAGTATAATCATAATCAAACCCAACCATCCTACACTAAGCTTTATTAAAAGCCCAGTCCTATCCAACCCGAACCTAAGCCCAATTAAAAAAGTGTTGGGTTAAGCTCTAGTTTGGGCCTAGGTTGATAAACATGGGTTTGACCAAGCTCAAGCCTGAGGCTTGCATCTTTAAGGTTGGGCATGGCCATGGGTTGACCCTCAACTTAACCCAACTTGCCAAATTTGTACCCTTACTCATAAGTGAGGACAAAGTGAGTTGCATGTGAGGTCCATTGACGTAGGTTTGATTTTGTGTCTCCATTTTCCTCTTTGCCCACTCTACACATTTCGCTCCCTCCCTTTCTCATCTATTATGTGCATTTGTATGTGCCACTAAAGTAGTTGAATAGAAGGTGCTATCTAGCTTGCTAGTTTAGTGTAAAATACAAACTCACCGTTAGCATTATGTTAGTTTTAAACTTTTATAAGATCATGTGCCCTCTCCTTTATTGCATCTCCAATGCCCAAGTTGACCTTTACCATTTTCTTTCTTCTTTTTTCTTTTTATTTGTTCGAAACGGTAGAGCATCTGTCATAAAAAGGTCAGAACTTGAGTTTTGAAAATACAATAAAAGAGAGAAAAATGGTCTAATAAAAAATCAAAACTAATAGAATATTAATTGTGGGAGCAGAGTATTGGAATCTAAAATTAAAGGGTAACTCCTTGTGGAAAATCAAAGTTCTGGGACATAAGTGTCACTCACTACCCCCAATAATAACTCTTTTAGAATTAGTCTGTAGGGCTGTTCACAAATAAATCCAAACTGATCAACCCGGCCCGACCCAACCAGAGTTGGCTGGTTTTTCTTTATTACCGGTCGGTTTCGGGTTGAAAAAATATATATTCTGAAAAATATTTGTTAAATATAGATATTTTAGTTTTAAATAATAAATATATATATATATATATGAAAAAATATATATTCTGAAATATATCAGATATATATTTTCAGAAATTAGAAAATATATATTTCAATATATTTGTACATATGTTTTGGTTTTAAATATATATTTCCAGAAAATATATTCTGAAATATTATATATAATATTAGCACTTTAACTTCATCTGTATTGTGCAAGATTGGAGTTGGTTGAAATCCAAACCGACCCAAACCAGCTAGGTCGGTTTTACTTAATAGAGGGTCGGTTTCGGCTTTATCTATAAATAACCAGACCAGGTCAAGTCGGTTGAAAAAACACTAGTAAACCAATCCAATCTGACCCGTAAACAACCCTATTAGTCTGGACTGCCCTTAAAATAAGTGCTAAGCCTGGCCTAACCCATAATCATTCCTATGTATTATTCACTTACCTACCAAAAAAAGTAGTTAAATATAAAGGCATGGGTTATGCACATGTACACCACACCACCTGTAATGAATTTTGCTTTTTCTCAAGAAAAAGGGGTATAAGTATTTAGTAGACTTAAATATACGTTGTGAGCTGACCCATAAGACTTAAACATACTTAAAACGTGACATGTGCACTCATAAAAAATTGTATAGTCCTATTTTGCCCTCTTAGTTTTCAGCTATCATGGTGATTCCAAATTCACTGTTAAAATATACACACGAGTTCTTACGAAAAGGAATTGTCTTTCTGCTTTCTTCAGCTCAGACAATATTCAGAGTAATCCCCGGCCAAAGAACAAAACGCAAGGCAAATCAATCACCAAATCCACCACCAAAGCAATTGTTTGTCGAGTAAAGGTAATGGTGATGAGTTTTTCCTCAGTACAAAACCTGACCAGAATTTGCATCACTTTGTGGCAAGACAGAAGTCACATGGTGCATTTTGGTCCGAACTTAGATTTGTTCACCAAGTTTTTTGTTTTTTCTTTTAATTTTCGATATTCATCGTTGGATTGTCAGAAAAAAGAGGTGTTCGAGTTAGAGTTGATATTATTTCCACTTAGTTGCTAATTGTTGTTTCACATGTCTCACCCAATTTTCTTGGGTTTATAATGCATAAAATTAATTAAGACGGTTCCAAAGGCAATGCATTTTGGCTCAGCATTTATGCTCAATTGCTTTGGGATGGGAAGCTTGAATATTAGGTGGATCAAAGACATTCCTACAGAACCAAGGAGAGGCTACTACTGATTTACTTTGATTTGCCGATCAGCAGCAATTGTATTTTGACACAGCCGTATATTATCATCTTTAAATATCATTTGTCAGATTGGTCTTTTGGGATGAACTGCAAGTTTTTACTCTTTTGGATTATCAAGGAAAATAAAATAGTGAACACATGAGGTTGTCTTTTGTTTAGTTCTTTTTGAAAATTTGAAGGGAAATGGAGGGCAAAAGAGACAAAAGGTATGTTCAAGTCCCCTTGAAAACCCAGGGCATGTTTAGTCTTTTACCCTAAAATAGAGGACAAAGGGTTGTTCTTCATGGCATATTCGAATATTCATCAACTGCCCTTTGCTTCCGTCCATAGCCATGACTCATGAGACCGTATGATGGGATTCCAAGCCCTTACTGAAATGCCACGGTGGAAGGACAATAACACACAGAATACACGTCGAGCTCTCAGACCTCAGTGTAAAGCATTCAGAGCTGTGCAGTGCTTGTGCATGATAGGTTTGAAGAGTTAGCGCACAACACGGTCTGGATGCATTGCTGAGCCAATGGCCCTTTCAACAACATGGTTGGTAGAGCTCATGCACAATCTTTCTTTATTCACTGAGACTACTCATAATAGAAACGCAAGGGCCTTAAATAGTCCAATCCAAAAGCTGACATTTGATGGTTGAAGGGCAGGTCAGTCACTCAAGCTGGTGACAATTGCTGATCAAGTATATGATTCAGCTGTTGCACCATTCATATTTATGGCACATGCATTGGGCAATACATGAACATAGTACCCTTCATCTAATGTTTTTTTCAGTACGCCAACTGGATTTCGTCATGGATGCAGATTTGGAATCCAACAGACAGAATCTGTGATGTCAACAACTTGAGGCTCATCAGAAACCCTGTCACCGTTCGTTCCCTAAACCAAACATCTAATTCAGAATAAGAGAAATTTGAAACTTGCTTTCTAGGTCTATTAAATTGCAGTAACCATTTTCCCCTAGTCTCTTTAGATTTCAACAGCAACCTACTTGCTTACACACTCAACCAGTGAATAAACTTCCTCATCCATGTCGATTTTATCTTTCTCCATCATTTTTAGGATGTCTAGAGCTGGTCTCCCAGCATGAATGTGCATCCTGAGCAATGATTTGTACAATTGCAGACTCATGAGACCTAATTGACGGATGACCTTAACATATTTCTTTGCATTCTCAAAGTCCCCATGCCTCACAAAGTACTCAGAGATGGACATTATAATTTTAGGTGATGGCCGCCAGTCACAGTGTTTCAACATAGCAAAACCTTTCTTCATGGCTTCCACGGCTTTATCCATCTCCTGGCTTTTCAACCATCCCTCCATGAGAATCTCCCAAGTCTTGTAATTTGGATACCCACCTTTCTTCAAGGTATGGAGATGTAACGACTCAGCTTTGTCCATCCATCCATTCCTCATGTAAGCACCTAGAAGGACATTTGAGACTCTAATATCATACTTCACACACTGAGATTCCCAAACCCTAAAGACTTTCTCAGCTTCTTCAATACCACCAACTTTCACCAGACACAGTAATATGCACATATAGTTTGCACAAGTAATTTTCCCTGCCACTGATTTGCTGGCTTCCCAGAGCCGAAGTACTTCTTCTTTGTTGTTCAAAGCAGAATACTGTGTAATTAGGAAGAAATAACCAAGCCGCTTTTGGGTTGAGAGCTTCTGTTCAGCAGCTCTGAGTGCCACAATGGCATTGTCAACAAGGCCCGATCTTATATATATGTTGGCTAACGTACAGTGACTACTCCAACCCACTTCCACATTCTTGTCATTCATCATTTCCTTGTACACCATCTCTGCAGATGTAACGCCTGATAGCTGGGCACATGCATTCATCCAAAGGTTGTACGAGAGAACATTTAGTGGTATTTTATTTTCTTTCATCTGTTGGATCACGGATGGTACATTCTCAAACAGACGAGTAGCCATATAAAGCTTCATCATTTCATTGAATAAATGAGGGTTCACAGCCAATCCTAACTCTTGTATTTTCAACATAAGAGCCTCAGCTTTCTTGGTAGCTCTTTCTTTTACGTAACAATGAAGAAGGGAGAAACATGCAGCCTTCTTTGAGTTAGTGTTAAGTATATTCTCAAAATATTCCTCAGCCTCTGCTACACCATGGACTTTGATGGTCAACTCCAATCTGAGTGCATGATCAGTTCCTGACATCTGGAAAATGTCCTGAGCTCCCATCCATGTAAGTATCTGCATAATATAAAGGGATGCTATATTTAAAACCAGTGGTAGGGATTTTGGCTCATACTTTCAATAACAGACTGCCAATCAAACCACTTCTTGTGAAAATCAATTTGAAGTAGGCAGGTTTCAATCTGCAAGAGAGCCTAGATGCTATCAAGAATGGAACACGCAGCAGAAAAAGATTTTCTGATCAGAGAACCATAAAACTCACTGCAAATATTTCTGTACATAACCAGTACAAATAATAATAAAATCAGAACCAATAAGAAACTTGAAGACAAGTTTTGCTTTCTGATATTCCATTATTTTTTACCTGAATAAAGAAATCTTAAATAAGCAGAATGGTTTCATCCATTACATAACAAATAAACAGGATTGCATCAGAAACAGCTAAAACATAGTAAGAGAGTACTCTGGACTTTAGTAAGTTGTAGACTCTGCAAAGATGGGAAAAATAAATTTCAGTGATGGAAAAATAAATTTCAGCTAAACTACATAAAACTGCTTGGGAAGGCATTACATCACTCAAAATGAGAAACTAACGTTGCTCCTACTGTGAGCTACCTATGGGATTGCAGTTCTTTTCAACCAGGTTACGAAGCAAAGTTGCTTCTTCAACCAACTCAGCCCCCACAAATGTATCCAAAAGCCTATTACATGCTGATAAATCAAAATTTGTAGGGGCAGATTGCTTCCACTGTTCAAGGACTTCTCCTGCTTCTTTCAACTGCCCAAGCATCAGGTATGAAGAAAGAATACATATATAATTTCTGCTTGTCATTTTCTGTGATGTCATTCTCAAAGATTTCCATATATTATCAATTCTCTCTTTATTTTTGAGACCGGTATAAAGAATTATGAGAAAGTCATAGGTTATCCATTCTCTCTGAGTTATCTTTTTCTCAACCTCAACTAGGGAATTAGACTCCAGATTTCCAAGGTTGCCTGCAGTAATATATATGTTGGTAAGTTTCATGTATGCTGCCCAGTCTTCATTAGAATTGGAATCATGCCTCATTTTATCAAGAATCCTTCTAACTCCATCCATGTCCTGGGTGGCAGCACATGCACTTATCCAGAGATTGTAAGTAAAGAGATCTGGTGGAACCTTCTGCCGTTTCAGCTCTTCAATAACCAAAGAGACTTTCTCCAATTGCCCTACAGACATATACAACGTCATCATCTCATTATATGTGAGGGCACTCAAGGCAAGGTTTAATTCCTTAATTCTCTCAAAGAGCTTCTCCGCCCTTTCAGTTAGTTTTACCGCAGCATAGGAGTGGAGGAGAGAAGTGTAGGTTTCACCAGTCTTTACATTTGGAGGGAGCCCTTCAAAGTAGCGCTCAGCAGCATCAATACCGAAAACTTTGGTCATCAAGTCAATTCGAACTGCATAATCAGAGTCTGATAACTCGAATTCTTGATGAGTAACCATCCACTCTGATATCTGCAAGCTTGTATCAATTTTTTTAAACAGGTTTCAACAACAATTCCAATTAGAACAATGAAAAGTAATGTGAAAATAAATGTCATACAGCATGGCACTTCATCTTGCATTTGAGAGTGAACTAATAATTCAAATAACACAAAGAAGTAACTAGAAACCGATTGGAAGTACAACTACAAAATGTGGCTTTATTTCATGGATTAACTGAAATACATGCATCCCAGTAACAATATTATATGGTGTAAGGTAGTCTGAAACCTTGAAGGTTGGGAGAAAAGTGGATAGGAATCTGAGGTCCTCTCAGATTTGATGATCTGGGGGTCTGTGAGGGGTGAGAGAGTGGAAAAAAAAATACTATATGCAAGAGAGAGAGGAAGCTGGAGCTCCCTCAGTAATGGAGAAATATACTGAGACTGGATTTGATAGGAAAATCCCTCCGTTACAGTTCTGAGACTGATATTTCCTCTTTTTTCTGGTACCTGGACCTGATAATTGGTGGTTCAGTGACCAATTATCTGTTTTAGGGATGCAGGCGGGTATTTATAGCCACTCTTGGAAGTTTTTGGACCTGTCTTCTTGCAGAATTAACCTGATTATCTTTTCTTGGGAATCACAATAAAAGTGTTTGTTATACAGATACTTGTCTGACATTTGTTACAAAAATATCTATCTGACACAATTGATTAGTTATGTCTCATGTGCTTTATTTATTTTTGACAATATCATGCAATGATCGGTACACAGTTATGCGCCTTTCCCAGCCTCACACACATGTCTTGAACACATTCACTTATTTGCTGCTGTCATTTTGCAGGTTTCCAATAGCCAAATTTCTCATTTCACATGTCCTCTGATGGTTAATTGTGATTTGTGGCCTTGTGCAAGCCTATGCTCTTAAAGATTACATAGCTCAAAAACCAAACTGGGAAAATGATCACAACCAGCAGATATATTGCATTCTTGGGTCAAAAAGAAAAATTTAAGGGTCCGGTTGGTTCGCAGTCAGAATTGAAATTCTTCAGAATCGGAATTGGAATGGCCTATTCCCATAGTCTGTTTGGTTCAGACAGGAATGGGAATGGGATTTCATTCCCAAGGGAGTAGGGTTGTCAATTGGACTGGATTTGATCCAATCCAATCCAGTCCAGTCTGAGTCCATTATAAATGGACCAGGTCCAATCCAGTCCAATGAATATTTTGGACCATTTTGGACTGGTCCAATTCAATGTCTGGACCATCCAATCTGTTCAAATTCATTTTGATTTAATGGTTCCAAAACCTGGTCCATTGACACCTATAGTCTTATCTTATATCAATGGACCAGATATTGGCTTAATCCAACCCAATCCTATATAAATTTATTACAGACAGACCAGATCCAATCCAATCTAATAAATATTTTGGACCGAATTGATCCAATCCAATATGTCTTGTTGGTCCATCCAATCCGTCCAAATTGATTTTGGACTGGACGGGGTCCAATCCAAAACCAGTCCATTGACACCCTTACAAAGGAGGGGCAGGGAATGGCCATTCCCTCAAATGGGGGAATGCCATTCCAACATGAATGAGAATGGGATTCCGATTCTACCCAACCAAACAACTGGAATTGGAATAGCCCATTTCGGTTCTGATTCCAGACCCCTATTCCTGTGAACTAAACGGGGCCTAAGTTTTTACATGCCATGCAAATTCAAGTTTCAACATTCCACTTGTGACCTGAGAGGTGGTTCAAGAAGCTCCGGAGCCGTGAATACATTAATTTAAGGAGGTTTGCAGTAGTTTGGCAAAAGAAAGCACCAGCAATAAGAAAAAGGTTAGAGGAAAATATTTTAGAAGTTTTTAAGCTCTAGAAACATCATCAGAGTGAGATACTATTAAGCTGCATATAATTCTTATAAAATAATACTGATGTTTTAAACTTTCCAGGAATTTGCTCTAAGAATTAAAAGGATTACCCCCTGAGCAAATAAAGAAGCCTCGCATAGAAGTTCTAAGGACAACATGAAAGTGATTTTTCACCAAATATGGCCTCTTGTTAGAAAAGATAGCACTTATAAGTTTCCCTCTTTGCTTTTGCGTTTTCCTTTTTTCTATGAAAAAAAAAAAAAAGAATCACTGGATTAGATAAAAGACCATGTATGAAAAGGTCCACATTAGTTTTCCTAATTCAATTGATAATAGGCAGGTCCCATATACAAACGTGAAAAATGAAGTTATCAATGGAGACGCGAAACAGTTTCTAAGGAGGAAAACTCGCAACAAATGCTACTATACTAGGCTTGAGTCCACATCAAAAGTGGAACATTAGCAACTTTTAATTCGGCAGCGAGCGCTAGTAGAATGTTTAGCTACTGAGATAAAGAATTTAAGCACAAAAGCTACTTTAGGGAACTCAACTCTAAAGAAGGGGAGGATAATTGATGTCTTCGAGTTAAACTACATTTGATACGCATGCTTCGAAATAATTAGAATGGCACATTAAGAATTTAGCAATTCCAGCAAGAGTAAAGAAAGAGGGAAATCCTAACCTCGAGAGCGTGCTTATACCGCTGAGATTTCCTGAGCTCTCTGGAAATCTGTCTAAGCTCGGAAAGGGTAATTGTGTTGCCTTCGCTGACCCATTTCTGAATCGCGGTCGTCGCGCTCCTTTTTGGAAGTCTGAGTCTGAAGATCCTGCTCTTCAGATCTTCTACTGGAGATGGAGATTCTTCGAGCGGTTCACTTCTCAATGGACCCGAGGAGAGCGACCTCGAGAGCCTTGTTTCCTCCAATAAGAGCATCTGAGACGGAGGACTATGTCCGCATTTCCTAGGGTTTCCAAAGTGCTCATAATTAGAGAAATTAAACGCATACACAAGAGAGAGAGAGAGAGAGATTCGAAGCAGCACTTACCGTCTGAGACCGGCGATGAACGAGCGCATCGCCATTGCCCAGTTTGATCGTATTTCTGTCTACTAAAATCTTCTTCCGTGTTTCTGTGTAATCATACCTTTCGGGCATCATAGATACTGCCAAATTCATTCTCGTTGTTATACCAAAAACTAGGGGTATTCAAATTCGGTTATCAAACCGAATCGAATAAGCCACTTCGGTTTGGTTAATTCGATTTTGATTCGGTTCGGTTTTAGGATATTAAAATTTTCGATTTATTATTTTTTGTTAGATTTGAGAAAAAATTCAATCGAACTAAACCGGAAATTGAATTAATCAAAATACAATACATTTATTCATATTTTAATTATAAATATTCATATTAATATTAACATTACTATTTGTATTATATTATATATATTTTAATTATAAATGTTAATATATTTTAATAATAATTATTAATATAAATATAAATACATTTATATTTTAATTAACCAAATTAACTGAATTAAAACCGAACAAAACTGAATTTAATTTAGTTTGGTTTCAAATCTATTTCCGAACTGAACTGATCGAATGAAGACCCCTACCAAAAACATCATTTTTAAACGAAAAAAAATGGGAATTTCTTTTTTGATAACTAGCCAAATTTCTTAAACTACCCTAAGTTTTTTTTTCGCTTCATTAAACTACCCTAAGTTTTGAAATGCATTAAAACTTCCCCATTTGCAAAATCATTGAAGGACCCTAATTTTTTATTTTTATAATTGACTAATTATTCCCCAGCCGTTGAGGCACTCATCATCTGTTTGCTTGTGATACATGTGAATTATATAATTTTTTAAATCAATTTTATCCTTTCATGGTAAAATTAAGGGATAAATTTACTGTACTTCATCTCAGAATTCTGAATTCAATTGTAGACTTATAACAGTTCAAAATTATAAACACCTCCACCTATAACACTCATAGCCACCTATAAATTAGCATCAATTCCCAGCTGGTGGCACGGTGGCACCTACCCCAATTGTATGGTGGAGCTAAGATTTTTGGAGTGGACTTAACAGTAAAACCCCCAAAATAAAAAACTGAGGGGATACAGCTGAACTTGAAAGTTTAGAAGAAGAGAAAGGAAAATTGCTTTACCCTTTATTATTTTTAGAATTTTCAAAACATCTTTCTACACAAATTTTGTTATAAATCTCCTTAAAAGCTAAAATTGCAGTACACTCAATACAATTTACAAAGAATTATAGGGATATACGTGTCCTATAAATCTACCTCAAATAAAATATACAAATGTGTATTTGTGAACAATCGGATCGGATCTTAACGGATTGAATTGACCTTATCCGAATTTGATCCAATAATTACACGATCACATCCCATTCGATTCGTTAACATATAGATGGATATCCAAATCCAGCAATAATTGGACCGGATACGAATTCAAATTGGATCAAAATCGATTCGTTTACACCCCTATTGGTTGGCTGTTGGGTATTATGGGGTTGGGGGATGAGATACCCCAACTCCCTGGTTATGGAGATGGGTCAAATCAAATCAGATGTAGTAAGATCCAAATTTTGATCTATATCATACTTGGATAGATCATTTTATCCAAATAATTTGCCATTCTCAGAGAACAAATATGGAATTCATATATAATAATGTTTTCTTCACCTTTATAGGTCATTTCTATGCAAATAATTTTAGAAAATATTGTTTTGTCTTTTCTATGTATATAATCATATATTATACATCCTACATACTTTACATGATTTGGTCAGTAATCTAGTTAGAAAGAAATGAGAAAATTGAGGGAAAAATAGAAGAGAGAAAGTATAAAGCTGAAGAAAACAGATCTGAAAAAAAAAGATGAGCGTACAGTCCCTTTCCATTATATAAACTCCTTTTCAAATATAATTGAAAACAACCAGTATACTCCTGATTGTACTCCCTTAAACTGCAAATCATAAGAAAAAATCAAAGACAAGAACTTAAATGAACCCAGGAATACACCTGTACACATAAACTCCCTACTCTCACTCAAACATTATACAAGATAGAAATATGGAGCATTTCTCAACAAAGAGAACATGTTGGACAACTGAAATCAGAAAGAAGAAGAATAATCAACTTCGAAATAGAATTCAACCAGTATCCAAATTCAAGCAGAGCAACAAAGAAATCCAAATCCAAATTCCCAAGGGAAAACAAACACAACAAACTAATTTGATCACACGTCATCCCATACCCGCACGCTGCGATACAATAAATCTTAAATACATGAAGAAAACAAACTATCTCAAATTCATTTCTCTTCCCTCTTCTCTAGTTTTTTCGGTGCATCATCCATAGTACTTTAGAGAAGAAAGCTTGCAATGAACCTACTGATTACAAAACAAATATGTAAGGACTCAGGGCCTTATATAATCCCAGAAATGGAGACACCTATGAATCGCACAAAAAAAATAGGAGCAGATCCATCGGTGTATGAATATTTTGCAAACATGAATTATACTCATCGATTGCCTGGATCTGGTGTGAAAAACCAATAATGGTAACAGTGAAGTAGATCGATCCCATCTGAAAAAAATAAAACCAGTCAGTTGGTGAAAAAAAAAAGAAAGAATGGGGAAGAGGAGAGGAAGAAGAAGATTCAATCAGTGGGCCGTTGATTTCGAAGAAGAAGAAGGAAGAGGAGGAGGAGGAAGAGGAAGATGAGGATAATGGTTTAGCAGTGGTCTTACCTCGCCGGAGGTTGGCTCGGCCCTCTGTTCGGCGATGGAGTTCTCTCCTCTCTGTTCGGCTCTCCCAATGGAAGATAGCGATGGAATTCTCCATGTTCGGCTCTCCTAATCTCTTCGATTGGATTGAAAATGAGAAAGGCATTTTTGTCCAAAAAATAAAAAAGATATTCATATCCGCAATGGGAATCACATTTCTTGGGGAGGGATAGGGAATGGCCATTCTCCGTACGAGAGATTCCCATTCCGCCTAGAATGAGAATTGGATTCTGATTCTTTCAAATCAAACATTTGATTTGATAGGGAATGGCCATTCTCCGTATGAGAGATTCCCATTCCGCCTAGAATGAGAATTGGATTCTGATTCTTTCAAATCAAACATTTGGTCATTCCGATTCTGATTCCGAACCTCTATTCCTACAAACCAGCTTTTCAGGTCATATAGCAATGCTTTAAAACCAGCTTTTCAGGTCATATAGCAATGGTTTTGGTGGATTGGATGGGCATACCACCTGGTAAACCAGTAAAACGGGGACCCGGAGAGCAATCTGGTTTTTAATCTGATATGACTCTTAAAACAGTGCACTGGTAGCAAGTGCCCATTTTCGCAATGAAGACTTTGGCTACATTTATTTAAAGTTATGTTTGATTTAAAGGAAAAGATAAGAAAAGGAAAGAAAATGTAAGAAAATATATACAAGATTTATAAAGATTTCCTTACTTTTCCTTTTTTTTCCCTACTTTTTCCTTTAAACCAAACATGGCCTAAGTGATTGTGTAATCTTGTTTTAATCCCTACCTATCAAGAGAACAAAAAAAAAAAAAAAATCAAGCCAGAGACTTTACCAACAAAGCTATTTGGTACCTTCAAACCAACTTATTAGTATATACATATTAACATTTTTTTTGGGTACGAAGATACATACTTTTAATTGAGTGACACTTTTATCATAGGTCCAAGCATATAGTTAAATATTAATTAACCTTTCTGAAAAAAATAATTATTGGCTAATCAGATTGGAGTGGATCGATCCAATTGTAAACAGATGAAGATCTAACAAGGATCATCTATTTTAAGACCTCTAAATTTACTCTAAGTGGGGTGGCGGTCACATTAAATTTTATTAACCATTGTCTAAGAAAGTAAATCAATAAGATTGTGTTTAGTTTAAATCTATTCATTGAATTTTCTGGAATTTATTACAATTTTCTGTATTTTTTTGCAATTTTTGTTTTGCATGAAATATATATGTTTTTGACATTTTATGTGTTTTTATGCATTTTTAATTTTTTATTTAAAAAATGAACTTTTTATGTTTTCAGTTGTAATATACTAGTGAGGCTCCATGCAATGCATGGTAAATTTTGAAAACCAAATAATAAGACCGAAGGAAAGTATTCACAATAAAATAATAAATGCATAATTACTGTTAATTTAGGGTTAATTAAACTAAAATTATTGTTAATAAATTATTATTAATTTGTAATTAAATTTAAATAATTGTTGTTAGTTAATAGTAAAATAAGTACATTGTTGTTTATGCGGCACAGACCATGTTCCACATCCCCAACCCTGATTTTGAAACAAATCCTCATCCCCGACTCTGACCACTTGCAGGGGTAAAAGATACCCTTCATCCCTGATCCCTAACAAAGACAGGTTTCCTGTGGGGACCCGAGCCACAAAAGTTTTTTTTTTTTTAATTAAAAGTATTTTTTGGAAAATAAATTTACTTAAAATAATGAATAATTAAAATATAACTAATATCTTAAATATATTTTGATATATATATATATATATATATATCAGCTACCCTCTCCTTTCTCCAAACTCCCTTCCTCTACCCCATCCTTGCCTTGTCCCCAGTGTTAGGCGGGTTCAAGGCAAGGCAACCACTCCTCAATGTTGGGAGAGTCCAGGGGCAAGGCACCCCCACTCCTCATCAAGGATGGGGAATCCTCGAATTTCGCCACCCCATCCACATTATTGGGTGGGTTCAAGTAGAGGTGTAAATCAGGTTGTACTAGGCTAAGCCTTGGGCCAGGCCAGGCTATTTCACGAACCTGGCCAAGCTATGAGAGGTCCATTTTTAAAAAATTGAAAAAGATGTTTAAATTTTTATTTCATATGATTTTTGATGTACACAATTGTTTATATATACAATTAGACATATTCATGGGCCAGGTAGCCCAACGGTTCGGCTTAACCTGACCCATTATTTTTCAGGCTTGGACAAAATTTTAGGCTCATGGGCTCGAGCTCAGACTTTCTCAAATAAGCCCTGCCCGATACTATTACATATATAAAGAAAGTACTTATGTTATATATATACGCACACACACATATGCTTCTTAAATTATTAATAAATATCAATTTACTACTAAGAAATATAAATTAGTTTATTAATTTATTAAATTATTAGTAAATTAATATAATATTAATTTATAAAAGTATAATGAAAAATAATACATTTTGTGTATAAATTGGGCTTTGGGCTCGGGCTCGGGCTCGAGCTTTGGGCTTTATATAAGGGTTGGGCTTAGGCTCAAGATCTAGGCCCAATGGTCAGGCCAGGCTCGGGCTTGGGCTTGCACATTTTCTATTGATAAAGAGGCTTGTGTTAATTATAAAACTATGATTTTTTACAAATTAAAATTTTTATTTAATTCTAGTCTAGTATAAAATATATATATATATGTATATATAATTTGTTATTTAAATATTATATAACAATATTAATCATATATGCATATAACTTCCAAGTTGAGCTTCTTAGGGGTTGTTTAGCTTGGGCCTATCCGCTAAAGTCATCATTGGACTCTAAAAGTTTGATGCCCAATTAGACTTCGGATCTAATTATACCTAATAATGTGTGGGCATGGTGCATATCTTAGCTAGATGTAACTCAAAAGAAAATAGTTGCTTGAACCTACAAAATTATAGATCTAATCGGATTAGGTTAAGTTATAAACAATTTGTTACTTTTTATTATTAATTATTAACATATTGGTAGCTATTAAAATATTGTAATTATTAAATTACTGTATTTATTTAAAATACAATAGTTTCTGAAAATTATCATATTTTCAGAAATATTGCTAATTTCTTTACAAAAACTAATTAAATGTAATTTTCTGGTAATTAAATGTAATTTTATACTATTTATAGGTTAAATTATAATTACTGTTAATTACATTTTAAAAATAATTATTGTTAATTATATTACTATTAATAATTAAAATACATTTTTTTTCATTATTATTTAGTACTTTTTGCAATAAAATACAATTAATTTAATTTTTTTTCATATTTTTGGATTTTTAATTAATTTTTTGTGTTTTTCCATTATTATTTAGTAATTTTTGCATATGAGTATTTTTCAAAAATTTTCAGTATTTTCATCATTTTTTTTGCATATTAGTCACTAAATAAATACCATAGTTAATAAACATATAACTAATTTCAATATTTTTCAATAATTTCTGGCTTGGGTATTTTTTTAATAATAAAATACTATTAATTATACTTTTTAATTATTTTTATTAAATACCCTTATTAATATAAAATATTGTTAATTTTCAATATTTTTAATTATTTTTAGTATTTTAATTATGTTTAGGTTTTTCAATTTTTTTTGGATTTTTAATTAATTTTTGGTATTTTTAAAACTATCAATTAATATTTCTTATTAGCATTTATTAAGATCTCAATTCATAAGTTATCTAATAATATTATTAAAACTATCAATTAGTATTTTTATATTTAAATTTCTTATTTTTATTAGCAGTTATTAAGTTGGATTTTTAAGTGGAATTGAAACACATTTTTAATATTTACTAAGTTTTGTTAGTATTTATTTTAAGTGAAAGTTTAGTGGATTTTTAAATTAATAATTTTTTGATTGTTTAACCTCAACCTATTTATATTATTTGATTTATATCATGTTTTCAAAACCAGACCGGATCGAAAAATCGGGAACAGGTCAGGTGACTGGTTCCGTTTTACCCCAAAACCGTTATTTTGCCAAAAACCATTGATTTGGTCAGTAAACCGTTGACCCGGACGGTCAAACCATTTGAACCATCCAATAATTTTGGCCATTTTTTATATTTTTTCTCAAAGCAGGCCATCCGTTTGGTTTGAATGGTCAGACCGTTCGACTTGAAAACCGGACCTCTGACCAATTCGTTATATAGTTTAGCTTTAAAAATCTTGCTTTATATTATTACTACTCTCTCTCTCTCTCTCTCTCTCTCTCTCTCTTAAATGTAATAATAACATGTATTAAAATAAGAAGCCTTTGAAAGCCCAAAGGTCTCTCTCTCTTAAATATCTTTTTTCATTGTAATAATAACATCATTAAAATAAGAGGCCTTTGAAAACCCAAAGGTTTCACTCTAATAGTGTGCAATTTTATTAATCTAATCAAGATAAATAATGATTAATGTTTTATATTTTAAAACAAAAGAAAATAAGATAAAATGAGAAAAATGAGAAAAATAGATAAATAACTTCTCTCAAAGGAGAGACATGCTGACATGGACCATCCAATTTTAATATATATATATATATATATATATATATATATAAATAGATAGATAGATAGATAATTCTATATTTTATACGATTAGGACGTAGAAAATTTAAGAAAAAACATTTTAGAGGGTCAAATGGGTGGGTTAAGGTCAAAATGAATTGTGACCCACTAACATGTGGGGGTACTCAACCCTCACCCAACACAACCTAATCCGTACATTTACCACCCCTAGATACATACAGAAAACAAGAATCAAGGGACAATAGGCCTAAGTGAGAGTCCTACGAACAGTCAATCCATATTTTGCAATTTGGTGGGCAGCCTTATTGGCAGTTCGGGGTACAAAAGGCAGTGAGCTATGGGGAATTCTCTCAAGAGCTCTGAAATCATTCAGGATTGGATGGATCTGCCAAGAATGAGAGTCTGACCTCTCCAATAGAGTGTTGATGACAAATTGAGCATCCCCTTCAAAAATAATCTCACAAATCTGTTGTAGCCACATTGCAATGAAAGAGTAGGTGTTGTATAGTCTCAATATGATCCCCACACAGAACACATGGAGGTGTTGTATTGGCGAACCACACTGTTTAAGACTTTTATTTAATAGATGAAGAACCAACCCTAACTATTAGCTTTGACGTACTCCACACTGTTTTAACCTGATTGCCTTGATGAAAAACCTGCTTGATTCTATCTCTTTGTTTTTTTTTTTTTTTTTTCTCAACATAAATATCTCATAAATTAACAAATCTAGGCTCTACACATCTTTTATACAAAGTTATTACAGGAAAACAATTAGATAAATATATAAAATTGAATTTATCTTTGTCATATGAGCCAAATATACAGAATTCAGATTTGCTTCTCGTATATCATACCTCACACTAACCTCACAGCACTTTAAAGTTTAAACCGTGCATTGAGAATATCTCACATATTTGATTTTGTCATTTATAGAAAGTAGGGATGGCCATTTCTACTTTACCCGTTGGATACTTGCCCCTATTTTGTTGGACAGTGCATTATTATTATTATTTTTTGCTTGAAATATGGGTTTTGGGATTCTACAACCTGTACGAGTATGAATAAGGTACGGTATGAGGTTAAACTCGATCCTTCCTGACCCGCATATTGTTGGAAAGTATATAAGCATGTACTAAGTGTTGAATTTAATAATATTTTAAATTTTACGTGAAGGATAATTGATAGTTTATGTGTTTTCTACATGTCTTAATCAAATAATTGAAAATTTTATTGTTTATTTGTGTTATTTTACTTATTTATTATTTATATATGATAAGAAATAATAAGAAATCATATACGTGTTCTAATCACAACCCGCCCCTACTCTTGAATACAAGAAGGTTAGGATTGGGGAGTGATGGTGTGCGATCATGCCAAATCACCCTTCATCAGGGAGGATTTTGCATTTTCATGTGTGAAGAGAGTTTGAATTCTCAAAATCCAATCCACTATGAGTTTTGGGGCAAACATGGGTTGGGAGGCTTAAGGAGATGAATACGACATAGAATTTACTAAACCCTCCCTGAACCTACCCTCTTACCATCCCTAAGGAAGATATTTCCATTGCATGCATGCCTGCAACCACACTTTTTGAAGAGCAAATCCAAATTCAAATATACAACGGCACGGGAAAAATTGATCTCGACTTGTACCTAATTGGTTGGAGTTTGCCGGGTCATTCACAAGCTTGCCCAAGAGGCTAAATTGAAGAGCCCGGATTCTCTCCACAAAACTCTTGCATGCACCCTGTAAGCATTGACAGCCGCCCACGCATGGGAATATCTTCTCTACATGTTTACTAAATTTACGGGAAGATATTTTCAGTGTACGTAGGGGGTGGATGCCAGTGATTTCAGAGTGGATGCAGAGATTTTGTGGAGAGGGGATCCAGTATTCCACAGTGCTCGGCTGCATATGAGTTCACATCAGCCCCCCCACAAGTAGGGGTGTAAGTGGGGTTGGCCCGAGTTAACAGTTTATACTGTTTCGGGTTTGAATTTATTGAAAATTTAATAAAATCCTAACTCTAATTCAAAAAAGTTGCATCCCTACCCACAAGAGGGCATCCACATCCCAGCCTTGTATTGAGAACATCTTTTGGTGATAGATTGATAATATAAAAGTAATGAGGCATCATCGGGAAATATTTCCAATTTATGATTGAGATGTGCTATAGGGCGTTATAGGGAGCTGATGTGAACTCACTGCACATCACCATTCAAAATATGGTCCAGATCAGAAACCTTTGTGTTTCTTGATTCTCTATATATCATCAAGCATTTGGATGTTTGGTGGAAGGGGAGGAAAGCGTCCAAACTCTTATTACTAATATAGAAAAAAACCAAAAATAATAAAAAAAAAACTAATGAAATCATGCTTTATTATTATTATTATTATTATTATTATTATAGTTTATACCAATTCTACCTTAAAAAAATCCTGCTGGATGCTAGCAATCCATCCTTGGGAAAGACAATGGATCCCATCCCATAGAAGACAAACATAATAGCAAGCGATACTGATTCCATGCAGCCACACACATAAACAAATAATTGATTTAATTAATCAAACAAAACTTAATGAAAAGCATGCATATATATATATATATATATATATATATAATTATATGTTGAGAATAAATACAAAAGACTTATTCTTTAAATTCATGCATACAATTGCTTCACTAGACTTGAGATGATGAATTAGGACACTGATGAGGCTCTGACTCTGGTTTTTGATCTTGTTGGTTGTTTCCTTTGAGCTCTCCATAGAAGTAAGAGGTGAAACCCCATAAAGCTAAGGTAAGGGAGATTCCCTTTTCACCTTTGAATTTCTCTTTGTAGAAGATAACAGCCAGTATCTCCAATATGGGGAGTAACGTTGCACTTGTAATACCTGCGACCAGAGACGAAGCATAGAAGATGACACCAACAGCTCCCAGGTAAAAGAACTGCCAAAAGATTGCACTGCACACCAGCACTACGTAATACTTTACCACCCCAAGCTCATGCTCCCTTGCCTCACTTCCAATGGCCTACAAATTAATTAAATGGCAAACGAACAAATTATATATATATATATATATTTTTTTTTTATGGTGATCAATAAGACATTAAATAAGCTGACCGAAATAACTGCTTGGGAGTTAGGGTTTAATATAGCTTGATTAGCCAATATATTATAAATATAGAAACGAAAATTAAGAATACCAATAAACTACTTTTTGCACTGTGAGAGCTTTAATTTTCATATTTGCTACATACCAATCAAGGAATTCATGATTTAATAGTCTACTGCAATATTACCGCATGGGATGGGATGTTTGTTTGTCAAATTTCTAAATCGATCGAGTTAGAGTGGAAGCACATTGATACAACTTTTGTTGAAGATCATTGGATCACACGTCACGGCGCAATAAATAAAAGAAGAAACAGAGAAAACAAAATTCATGTGCGTGTTTAAACAGAGTAGGAAGATTCAGGAGAGCTTTCCTACACCAAACATAATAACACACCTACTTTCCATCCAAAGAAACACAACTCCTCTACGGACTAGGACTAGGGGAAGTGGGTGGAGAATACTGGACTAACCAGCGCGATAGATGGGCATACGTGGACGCAGCTGACGTCGGTATCGTATCGGCCCAGTATATTATTATTAGGAACGGAACTTCGGACGATTTGAGCTCATATTACTATATTAGGAGAGGAGAATAATATATACTAATGGGACCCATTGCTCAATGAGTCCCATCATGAATATTTATTGGCCCAAATTCTGGCTTCATGCCCAATAGAAACTAGGTATTAATTTGTCTGTATATATTTGAAGGATCGATGTGAAGAGTTCTACATTAAACTAAGAAAATATTCCACGATTAAAATGATTAAACCAAAATAAATTAAAAAGGTGATTTTATTTTTCATTTGGTGAAAGCCCTCTTTTTAATTTGCAGGAGCCTAGCTAGAGAGAGAGAGAGAGAGAGTATACCTTGAAGTCTTTGTTCACTAGCATCCCTACGGTACAGAAAGCAGTAGCAAAGATGGACATCACCATCTGGATCTCCATAACCAAAGGGTAAGTAATGGCCTGCTTGGCTCTTTTGTATGTGAACTCAACCATGGGTAGCAACAGACCATACAATACTGCCGCTCCAATAGAGACAAAGAAACCCATATAATACTGATCTTTGGCCTCATCCTTTGGTCGGTCGCTGCTTGAATGAAGGCCGAGAACTATGGCCCCAATGGTCAGCAGAACGACAGAGTTAATAGAAAAAGGTGTAAACCTTTGCCTAACTAGAAGAAAAGAGAAAAGTGCATTGAAGGCCAGTTGGCTGGAATTTATGAGAGAAATGGTGGAGACGGGCAAACGAGACATGCCATAGGCATACAAGTAGTCAACCAAGCCGGTGAGGAGGCCAAGGGAAGCAGAAGCAACAAAGAGACGAGGCTTCATGAAGAAGAGCCTGGCACCTTGTTCACCCAGCTTGCTACGCCGGTGCAAGTACGAAAACAATAGAGGGAATAGAAAAATTGGCCAACCGCCGGTCTCCAACCAGCTAGATAACCAAATTCTATTACCGCCTCGGTTGAAGTAGAGTCGCATCAGCAGCGGACCACCGGACTCGCCCAGCACCATCAAAGCCAAATTGAGTAGGAGAAGACACCTCTTCAAGGCTTTGCTCATCTTCTCCCTTGGATCGACTATCTTTTCGAATTGGAGGTTGTCTTCCGGATCCCGGGGCTGATGCATCTCCATCTGCGCTAGCTTGTGTAGATAATGGGTTGCAAGCTAGTCCTAATTATAAATACTGAAACAGTTATTGATGCTGGAATAATAATATGCATGCCGATTGCCGATTGCGGAATCCTCCTTCCATGGAATCGATCAGACGATTCACGATTCAGACGTTTAGTTTCTTTCCGCTGTTTCAATGATATATATTGTTATATTGTACTTGACCGTGGTCCCAATCGCCCATTTCTTTTCATCATCAAACATGGATGAGGGACACGTTGGTCATGATGGTGGTGGTACGTAGTTCTGGTTGGTGCTTGTGTTTTGCCTTTGCGCGGCAAAAGAAGGAATCTTTGTCGAATATTATTATTGGGTACGCTGCCTCAACAGTGGGCAGAGTGCGGCACTGTGATTTGATCAATCAATCCACTGCACTGACCCTGTGATTGGCTTTATGTATCCAATATATACGAGTGTAGGAATAGGACCCATCCCCTTGTGATAATTGGGCCTCACTGACTCACAAACGCACCGAGCCTTGCCTTATTTGTCCAGCTCCACGTACAATTTTGGTTATCTTTGCACTCTTTCTTGCTTTTGTCCAAATAAAATAATTCTTAGTGTTATAGGTAACTAGGTGGTGTACGTGTTTGGGATTCTGACGTGTGAAGCATTCTTCATATTTCCTTCACTGTTCACCTGGAACATTCGACATTAATTATTGTATCATTTCAATGGATTCTCCAACTATCAATATTACGGGTGAAGCCCATACAAATGTTCCAGATGGGTGATGTAAGACGCATTTGTGGGATTATAAAGTAAGAAGAAGGAGAATCCAATCCTTTGCTATCCTAATGCTTTGTCAAGTTATTTCATTTTCTGGCCCCCAAAATGGTCCTCAAGTCCTGGTCCCTGGCACTGCCAGGTGGTTCCCCGAATTGGACCTCAGATAACATTGTTATCACTTCCTTTATTCTCAGTTTTGGCACTTGGATTATTTAAAGGTATAATAGCATTATTAATATAACTTTCATTTGATGACTATGACTCCGTCGATATCTATAATGCTTAATTATATGGTGTTGCGTTTCGTTAATTTAATAAGGGATGCCAATAATTTTGAGGGTATTTGGTTTTATGGGTGTTTATTTAATAAATGCTGTCACATAGGCGTCATTCAGTAGCTTTTCTTCCGTACTCTTTTTGTATGCATTGGGAATAATAAAAGTGGATTTTCATTTTTGTGTATGTTTATCATTTGGGAAAGTTATTTTTTAAACTTCTACAAACGGTTAGGCGTTTTCTCACTGGTACACTGTTGTAATGCCTAGTGGTGCCTAATTGTCATAAACGGTTGTAATTATTACCTTTCTCAGTTTTACCAACAAATAAAGTGCAAACATTAAATGAAAAAATATAAACAAAACCAAACACATAGTGGGTGTTTGGCATCAATGCCGTTTTTTGAGAAAATGGCATTATATAAGCAGTACATCAGAAAAAAAAAGTGGTGCTTCAGACTGAAACAACACCAAATTCAATGTTTTTCAGAAAACAACTCGTTGCTACCAGTGGTGCAATGATGTGACATCATCTTAAACGTTGGATAATATGACCAATGCCGAAAACAGTTCTACAACACTGGTACCTAGGGGAGTCAATTGGACTGGATTTGGTCCAATCCGTTCCAGTCCAACATGAATCCATTAAAAATGGACCAGGTCCAATCCAATCCAATCTAATGAATGTTTTGGACCAATTTGAACCGGTCCAATTCAATGTCTAGACTGTCCATTCTGTCCTAATTTACTTTGATTTAGATTGGTTTCAACCCAAACTTGGTCCATTGACACATATATTCGAATCTTATATTAATGAACCAGATATTGACTTAATCCAATCCAATATAAATTTGTTACGGACGGACTAGGTCCAACCCCATCTAATAAATATTTTAGACTGAATTGATCCAGTCTAATATGTCTTGTTGGTCCGTCCAATCCATCCAAATTGATTAAGTGTATACAACTCACACATGCCCAACACCAATGCCAAACACCTATATAGATTGTTACTGTTTGTGGTTGGAACAAGTATATATTATTAAGAATGCATATGTGAAAGTTGTTTATAGAAACATCAAATTGACCTTTCTTGCTGGGGGGTTGAGGGTTGAAATCTAGTCATACATCACATATGATATAACAACACATATATCTCATCAATTTGCATCGATCAATCCAGAAACATTTCAGATAGAAACAGCAATTATACCTAACGACACAGCCTTAGAAAGAACCATGACTAAGGCGTAGACATTATTGAAATGAGCTCACCTTTTCTTGGACATGGTTTTAGCGCAGGGCTAAAATTGTGAATATTGGCCTTTAATATCTTTCTATAGCCACACTACAATTAGTTCATTTAATTCAAAGTATGGCCTCAATAATTCATTGAAGGCTTTAATTTTCTTGTTCTACGTTATAGCAAAAGTTGTTTGTATGTAAATTGGGTTTGCAGAGCTTGGATCTCTCCAAGCAAAAACTCTGGCATGGAGTGTGTGTTAAATTCATGGAGAGATATTTTTAATTTATGATTAAATCCCATGCTCTGACAGTGTGTACATAATTTGGGAGCGGATTAGTCAGAGATAAGAACATATACACCCGATTGAACTATCTACCACGGTTAAACATGCCAATGTTTAGTACAGCTGGGTCCCAGATGAGATTCACAGTGAGCATTGGTGTGTTCAAGAGTGAGCACTGGTGTGTTCAAGGGTGATAGGTAGTTCAACAGGGTGTGTATGATATTGTCTCCAACTCATCCGGATTCACCGAATTTTTGCTTCCAGAAAATCTTTTCATGGATTTGCACCCCTTTGCTTATCAAGGGATTGACGACTCAGTTTATCAAAAGCAGGATGTGTCTGCAGGTAGAAAAGGGAAGGGTATCGAACACAACCTTTGAAAGCACAGGGGGTTTGATCACATACTCACATCTCGTTCTGATAAACTGAATGAAATATTTCGTTGTGAATCCCAGTTCCTCCATGAGATATTTTATGGAATCATAAAAAATGGAGAAGTGTTTGAAAAGGAAACAAAGGATAAACTCCAACAATAATCTTCTCAACCAATCGCTCATATCAAGCAAACAAGAAATTGATCTATATATATAAAAAAAAAAAAAAAAAAAAAATCAAAGGATCCTTCGTTGTAAGCTGGACGAACTGACGGACCAAGATCAAACATAAGGTGTCGTATCTGGTTGTGGAGTCTCAGAATTTTTCTTGCTTGGTCCTTTGATCTCACCGTAAAAGTATGAGGTGAAACCCCATAGACACAGGGCGAGGGAAATTCCCTTCTCAGCTTTGAACTTCTCGCGGCAGAAGATGACGGCCAAGATCTCTGTCACCGGGATTACAGCAGCAATTATAATACCACCGAGCATTGAGGAGCCACAAAAGATAACCCCAACCAATCCCAAGAAAAACAATTGCCAAAGGATCGCACTCCACACTATCACCAAATAGTACTTTGCTTCCCCAATCTCGTACTCACTTGCGTCTTTTGGAATGCTCTGCACTTTATTACAATTAAGTAAACAAAACAATTCAAAATAGAAAACAAAATCGTAATCAAAGGCCGCAATTTCTTGAATCGTGAGATCTTTTGAATTTTGACACCTCTCTCACTCACGGCACTATAGACGGCTGCTGCAATCTCACAGTTTTGGTACCAAAAGTAAGCCAAAGCAAGCATCGGCATTATATAATAATTAATAAAGGGTAAATTGCTAAAACCTCCCATCAATTAGTAATTACAATCATTTTTCCTAAGTTTTTTAACACAGTTGCAAGTCGACCCTCTTTGTTATAATCTCCTAATAATAAGAGACATTATTATGTCTAAATACTCTTACAGTTACTATTGAAGTTAGTTTCTATACAAAAACAATAATAACAAAAAAAGATAATTTATAAAGTTGCAGCTTTACCTTTAACGATTGATATGAAAGACAAATTTGGAATATAAATCAATTTTAGAAAAGAGGTTGGAAGGGTTTGGGCTAACAATTCATATGAAGAGAAAATATAAATGATAAACATTTTGGTGAAAGGTAACTGAATGGATAATTTGGACATTTTAAGACCTTTTTTTAGAGGATTTTAACAAACATACTTGCAATAATCACAAAGTTCAGGAGAGGTAATTGCAATTATCAAACTTCAGAAAAAATTTCGACAACAACCAAAAACTTCGGGAGAGATTTCAGCAATTTACCCTATAATAAAAGATGACTCACATTTAGGGGCATCTACACTCACAATGCGCAGCCCAGCCCAGCCCACAAGGGAGATCTGCAATGAACTCTCCTTATTTTCCTTTTTTTTTGGTAAAATAATTTTTTTTTTTACTAAATCATAATAGTTACGTCAAGTCATCAACTAATAGTTACATGCATATTCTTTCTACAAGCCTCTTATTCTAGATCACAGCTCGGTGATACGGTTGCCCATATATACAGTCAGTCCAACTTGGGCCACGCTGGGCTTGCCATGTTATGTTGTGGCCCATCTTGATTAGATTTGTTCTTTAATTGTACCGCTGCAAATGGTAATGATCCGGTGATCCAAATTCGATCAATTTATAATTGGATAAAATATCATATTTAATATAATCCAATTAGATTATATATATAGATATATATACACTTAAAATTTGTATTATATATAACTACCAGTAAAGTTGGTATGAATGTTGCATTTTCATTAAATTTTCATAGGTTCAAGTTGTAACTTTTAATTCATTTTATTCATAAAATACAATATTAAAGTCATTTTTAGTAAAACACTAAAAAAAAGTCAATTTTAGTGTATTTTATTAATAAAATATAATACTAATTATTTTTAGTCTAATTAATTTATATAATTTAATATGTGATCATAATCCAAATTCGATTCGAATCCATTAAAATATCAAATGGATACCCTCTAATTCAAATTAAAATATAAACAAATCAAATTTAGATCTACCTACTCTTTATCTGATCCGATTCAGTTGTAAGTTAAAAAAATAACCTGATTAAACTATTTTTGATGCATCCTCATTTGCTCGGTTCACATGCATCCCATTGTAGGTCCCCATATTTGAAACATGGGACAGGTGGCAGACTATAGCTCCTCAAAAATCTAGAACCATCTTTTAGCTTTTCTTGACCCAATATTAGAGCTGCAGCTTGGGACCGAACCCAATCCCAAAAGTCAGATCGGATTGGATTGGATTGAAAATCGGGCTTAGTGTATGATGTATATATGGTTGTATGCATGTATATAAATGTGCAATCATCTATCAATAAATATATGTATTCCAATAGGTGATAAAAAATAATAAAATGAGAGGAAGTAATCTAAGATAATTTATTCATATGCATACAAGACAATTTAGTATCATTAAGAAGAGACAATCTGTTGCAAGTTAAAAGGGCTAAAAGGTATAAGGGTTAGATGATGATTATGGTGATGGTGATGACAAAGAAGATCCATAAGGTAGTGTTTGGTTTGAAAGAAAAGTTAGAGAAAGGAAAAGAAGTGTGTAAAAACCCATACAAGATAATTTGTATAGGTTTTTTCTATTTTTTTTTCTTTTTCCTCAAATCAAATATGGCGTAAATGTATACATGTATGCAGAAAAATATTTTAAATTTAAAAATTAAAACCAAATTTTCTAGGCATGGTAGCTATATCCTAACAAGTTCCAACTATATTATTGAAAATGCATGATATCCAATCAGCTGGTAGGAGGGATCTGATTGGATAAAATTCTTCAGGTATCGTATCCTTCCGGCATCATGGAAATTGCCATGTTCTTATAACAATAATCTAGAACTGAATTGGCCCAAACCCTTGAGTCTAAGAAATAAGATCATATGACAAAAGGAAATTGAGCTTAGAGAAGCCAGGCCAATTCAATCCAAACCCCACCGGGGAACATTGATTTTGGTTAGGGGTTGAGTTTAGTTGGGGTTACGATTGACCTCAACCCGAGTTAACCCAGCCTGATTTGCACTCCTACCATGACACTCTTTAATACATATGGGCCAGTTTGGAATCAGTACAAAGAATAAATATTTTTGAAAATAACGAATGAGAGAGAAAGAGAGAGACCTTGAAATCGTTGTTGACGAGCATCCCTAGGGAGCAGAAAGCAGTGGCAAAGATGGATATCACCAGCTGCATCTCAATGACAAGAGAGTAAGTTATGAGCTGATTGGATTTCTTGTATGTAAGCTCCACCAAGGGTAGCACAAGCCCATATAGTGCGGATGCTCCGATGGTCATAAAGAAACCCGTGTAATATTGAGTGTTGGACTCATTAGAGGGGCGGTCACTGCCTGTATGAAGGGCCATCACTAACGCTCCGATTGTCAACATAACAATTGAGTTGATGGAATAAGATGTAAAGGTTTGTCTAACTAGGAAAAAAGCAAAAATTGCAGTGAAGATAAGTTGAGTAGAAGCAATGAGAGCAGAGGTAGATACGGGTAGACGAGAAAGTCCGTAGGCATAAAGGTAGTCATCCAAGCCGGTGATGATGCCCAGAATTGCACTAGCGGCGAAGAGACGAGGCTTGATAAGGAAGAGCCTCGTTGAACCTCGTTCCTCTCCCTGATCCTGACTACGGCGGTACGAGTATGAAAACAAGAGAGGCAATAGAAGGATCGGCCAGCCTGCGGTCTCCAACCAGCTAGAAAACCAAATTCTTTTACCCCCGTGCAGGAAGTAGAGTCGGATTAATAGCGGGCCACCGCAGTTTCCAAGGACCAACAGGGCACAATTTAGCAAGAGGAGGGACCTCTTCAAATTCAGGGATTTGTTCATTGTCTCCTCCGTATTGAGCGCCTGGTTGTGGCGGCTAATCTCTTGCCTCTCCACCTCCATATGGTTTAGCTAATTAGCTACTAGCTAGAAAAGAAAGACGGACAGAGGTGATGAGGTAGTAGATAGATTCATGGACTATGAGAGCTCGACCGTAATGGAATGCATGTATGATTTTTGGGTTGGCGCGTGTACGATACCTGTCTGAAATGAAATCGGAAGGTCTGATACGTTTCACCTAGTTAGTTTGATATTTCATTTGGTCATATTCGGGATCTACCTCTGTACCACACATTTTTTTTCCTTACAAGGACGGTTCGTCATCTTTCGGGGCATCGACTGATTATTGATGCACTACTGTTTTCGAAAGGACACAAAAGAAAAGGATGTGTATATACATAGTTGTCTCAAACCGGGTCCTTATCTCAATCCCAATCCCAACTCTCAACTCCCAAATAAAACATTCCTACATCGGAGTGCACAAAGATGAGGTCACGCCACACCTGCTTCTTGCAATCGCCAGCTGATAAAACACGGCGGATTGTTGTAATTGCAAAAACATTCACACAGAGAAGAGACCATGCAATGAGCATGAGGGGTTATACAACAACGCATCCATTGGCGACGATGACGAAGGTTAATTCCATTAATCTATATGTATGGAATTAAAGGTAGCAGTAGGTGCACATGCGAGTTAATCCACTGCACTGCACTGCACTGGTTGTAGCATATATAAATTCCTACCGGCCCTTATATCACAAGCATTACTAGCTTGTTTATGTATCTTTCTTCATTACATCACCTTTAAATCTCAACATAAAACAAATTAAGGAACATCTTCTATAGTATTGGACAGATGGGATATGGATATGAATATAGATATGAATACACTTTGAAAAAGGCATACATATGAAAGAAAGATATAGAAAAGTTTAGGCTCAATTTGGAAAGACTATAAATACAAATATATACATCGTAAATATATACAAAATATAAGGTTTTGCACTCTACACATTTGTGTTTGTACTCCTTCCAAACTCAACCTTAGATACACTAGTGAAATGCATACAAATCACATAAATACGTTAATCATATTAACCCAAAAGCTGAATTATCTATGAATAAGATAAAAATACATGAGAAATGCATACTTCAATAGGTTATATGAAGAGAAATATTACAATAAACATTACCAGGACTCTAGAACATTCAAACATTGTACAATAATCATCACTCTTTCAATTTTATAATTATAATTTTCAATTTTTATTAATTTTTGGGAATATTTATTAATTTAGAATTTTATTTAAATAACAACTATTTTTTAAATAATAAATATGTTATCATTTTTAGCATATATATATATATATATTTTTTTTATTTTACACATAATTGAAAAATAAAACAAATAAATCATTTAAGGTAAATAAAATAAATTATATTTAACTTCTAGTTTTTATTAAAATTTTTGGAAAAATTAAATCTTAAATTATTCGTTTCAATTTTTAATAATTATAATTTTGTTGGGAAAGTTTATTTATTTAGCATTTTTATATAATAACTCTATTTTTTCAATAATAACTATGTTTTTATTTTTAATATATAATTATGTGTACAATAAAATATATAATTCATCTTTTTTTTAGTTTTTCTTATTTTTTTGGAAAAATTAAATCTTAAATTATTTATTTCAGTTTTCATAATACTATTTTTTAACTTGTATTAAGGATGAAAAACATTCCAAAAGTACTCAATGTACAATTTTGTCAAACTATAAACGGTTACACCTCCATATCAGTGTATCGGACTGTATCCACTGATACGGTACAATACGACCCAATATAGAGGCATATCATACCGATACGCACGACTCATAAGATACGTATCCAATCGTATTATATCCTGTATCCATAGTCATAGATACAAATACAATATGCCCCATATTGAGAATATCGTATCGATACCTTAATCCTTGCCTATAACAATCTCTACCATATCAATTAAACAACAACCTCATCTATGTATTCCATGCGCACAGACATCAAAGGATCCTGCGTTACAAGCTGGATGAACTGATGGGTCAAGATTAAATAAACATAAGGTCGCGCGTACAACCTACAATAAATCTGGTTGTCAAATTCCAGTATTTTTCTTGCTTCCTTTGTTCTCACCATAAAAATAACAAGTGAAACCTCATAGACAAAAGGGGGGAGGAGGCTACCCTTCTCACCTTTGAACTTGTGGTATATAGAAAGATGACAACCTAGGTGTCTGTCACTGGAATAGAGCAGAAATTACAGTACCACCGAGCAAGAGTAACCGATTCCAACTGAGTTCACATTTGTGCTTCACATGCACATCTCACCATGCATTGAGAATATCTCCCAAAGTTGTCATTGAAAGAATACACTGTTGGGATGTGCTGTAGAGCACAGATGTAAATTTGACTCCAACCAATCCCAAGAAAAATAACTGCTGAACATCTCCCCTACTTATCATAGGGAGATGTTCCCAATATACATCTGGGATGGACTGTAGGGCACGTTTTGTGGGGTGCTGATGCAAATTCATATAAACAAACCAACAAACAATTGAAAAGAAAAAGATATTCCAATGTAGTAATTCCTTGCATTATGAGAGCTTTTGAATTTTCTTGGCTGTATGTATATCTCATATACATTAAGAAAAGGAAGTAATATGCCTCGGTGCCAATGTCATCTGTAAAAACAAGGATAAAAGGCTTAAATATATCCTAAGTTTTTTAAGAAGACTTAAATATACCTTGTAACTATTAAATTTGACAGAATAAACTAAAATACTTTTTTACCCTTAGTTATTTTTCAAATTTTCAACGAAAACCACAAAGAATATGAAATCAGAAACATTTTACACAAAATTGGACCAGGGATGTAATCCTTTTAAGACCAGAATTGACTTTATATATAGATACATCACTTTTATGACCGGGACAGTCATGCCATAGGAATCAATGCAAATAAAAGGGGTAATCGCAGCAAATGCAAATCCATATCATAGCGTCCCTGAAACAATCTGATCCATAAACTCTGTTTTGGTAAACACGAAACTTGAACTCATTCTTCAAAGGGATAATCCCAGAAGAGTTAAGAGTACAAGGCCCACTCTTTACAAATTATGAACATAAGGGAAAGGAAACCACCTACCTTCGTTACAATCCTTGCTAGCAAGAAGCCAACAAACATGGTCAAATTTCAGTATCTCCTGTCTAATGTCTTGTAGAACAAACCAGATTTCAGTTGCTGGTTGAGTTTTCATCTTCATCATGCACACTAGATGTTGAATATCCGACGCCAAAACAGCTACCTCAGATTCAGAGTTGCAAACTGTTGGGTTCCCTCCTTATGAGGTGGGGCCAACTCACTTTAACAAGAGACAAAAGGACAAAAGTAAGAAAAGAAGGGTTAATGAAATACCCTCATTCTTTCATTGCAACACACTCATTTGTTGGGTGACCTTTGGGCTCTTAAGACCAGGGTTTTCTTGGAACGGTTCAAGCAAGAAGAAGCAGCTCTGAAGGCCATATCCATAGCAAGGTTTTGTATTGCCATTTATCTCCAAGAAAGTTTCTCAAGGTTTGTATTGTCATTTGTCAGGCACAAATGACCAAGACTTGGTCTATTAAGTGAGAGGCCAAAGCGTGCAATCTTTTGTCATCTAATTATAGTATTTTTTGGCGCATTTATCATTTTGCTCAGGGTCAAATTTCTGATAAACATGGGATAGGTGGTACGCTATGGGTCCCCCAAAGTCCAGAACCATGTTAATAATCTTGTTTTCTCTTGACCCAGCAGGGATGCAATTTGGGCAGGTTTTTCCCGAACTGAACCGAAAAAAGTTAGATTATTGAAAAGTATAATATTGGTTGGGTTTGAGGCCTTGACCAATCCAATCCAACCTGAATCATATTTGTATACATAATCTTAAATACACATGTATTTAGATATACAAATATGAATCAATGTATTAATGTACAAATACATTTATATATATATGTGTGTGTCAATAATTTTAAATTAAAAATAAAATATTTCCAATGTTCAAAGTATCAATACTCTCAATAGTTGGTTTATTTAATTTAATTGAAGTACAAGCCCACATAATGCGGTTGCTCCCTTGTGCATAAAGAAATTCATGTAACATTGATAATTGGACTCAGCTAGCTTGCAGTCTCCACCAGCTAGAAAACCATTTTTTTTTTTAATTTACGGCCGTGCAGGAAATAAAGTCATCTTATTAATGGCCAATTGACCACCACAGTTTTCAATGGCTACAAAAAAGGCCGGGTAGCCCAATATTGCACCAGACTTCCACTATTGTGTGGCCTGGGAAGGGACTAACGTACACACAATGACACAACCTTACCCTTACTATTTAAACCCTGACCACTCAACGCAAATTGCAATGGAGCAGTCCAAGCGTTGCCCCAAGGCCCGATTTAGCAAGAGGGACCTTTTTCCAGGGATTTGTTCATTGTTTCCTTGTGTCGAGTGCCTATTGGTGGCTAATCTCTTTGATATTAAGGGTATCAATTTTTACCCCACTTGATAGGTATCCTCCTCAACCCTTATTGACGGGGTGGGGTTTTTTGTTTGAAGGATAGGTTTTGGGATTCTACAACCTGTACCATACGAGTAGAGTATAGTATTAGGTATTTAGGTTAAATCTAATTCTCCCCAATCCATATATTATATATTATTGAAAAGCATATAAAATTTATGCATCTAGGTTCCGTTTCATTACAAGAAAAATAGCCAAAAGCGGCGGTTTAGAGCCGGCGGTCCTTGTGACCTCCGCTAAGAGATATCTAAGCCGGCATTCGTTTTAGAAACTGGCGCGGCGGTTATTAATGTACATTTGGCGGATTTTTTCTTAACCGGAATTAAACCGTTTAACCTTGGACCGATGATGTGGAGAAGCGCAGGGAGGGAAATTTTTCTTTCTCCCACGCGTGAATTCCCCCTTCCTGTTCGAAAAGCGAGAAGAAGACAGGAGGTTCTCTGTCCATAGAGAACCTTGCTGAGAAATTTACAAGACAAGAAGTTATTCTTCACGAG